AGTGTGTGTGTGTGTGTGTGTGTGTGTGTGTGTGTGTGTGTGTGTGTGTGTGTGTGTGTGTGTGTGTGTGTACCAGTGCAGTGCAGCTGCAGCCCAGTGTGTGTGTGGGCTCCAGGCTGGTGATCGGGCACTGCTCCGGGCCGCTCTGCTCTGTCGGGTGACTGGGGCTGTAAACCGACTTCCGCAGCAGGTGGTTCAGACTCCCGTGAGTCCCGTTATTGTGGAATGGAGTGATTTCCAGCACGTCTGACAGGAAGAGAGAGGAACAGATTGACAAGTTAGATGTGTGTTGGATGTGCTGTGTGTTCACCTTCTATATTTACTTTATGATGCTACTTTATTCCCTACTGTAAAGCACTTCAGATCAGCTTCGGTTGTGCTCTAAAAATAAACTCAGATGTCGTGTTTTGTGGGTTTCGTACCACACATGAGGTTGTACAGCTCAATGTTGGAAAACGGCTCCACTTCTGTCTGAAAGTGGAATTTTGGTCCTAAACTGAGAAATGAGGCCTGAGAGAGACAGAGTAACTCGTTCAAACTGCACATCAGAGCAATTATCTGTGCAACATTTACACACACACACACACACACACACACCATCAGAACATGTGCTAGTCTACATAACATGAGTGTGTGTGTGTGAGTGTGGTACCTCTCAAAGAGCCAGCGCGGGTTCACCAGGACGCTGACATCTTCGATGCGTCTGTTGCTGGCATAATGGAAACGTTTGGGCAGGTGATGTTTCAGGTAGGGCTTGATCTGTTGCTCCGGCTGCTTACACTGAACAACAGCAGCCAATAACACACACGTAACACACACTTAACACACACGTAACACACACGTAACACATGTAACACACATAACACATGTAACACACACGTAACAGACACGTAATAGACGTAACACACGTAACACACACGTAACACACACACACAGCACACGTAACACATGTAACACACATAACACATGTAACACACACGTAACAGACACGTAATAGACGTAACACACGTAACACACACGTAACACACACACACAGCACACGTAACACATGTAACACACATAACACATGTAACACACACGTAACACACACATAACACACACGTAATATTGCACACACAACACACTGCGAAACTGCTGAGTGGAAAGAATTTTCTTTTTCCTGTAAATGCTACTTAAAATGTCATCACATTGGACTAAAACTGACTGACTCAAGAGTTAGTGTGATGAATGAGCTGGCATTTCAACCTCATATAATTACAACATTTTCCCACTAAATATAAACCATTACACCCTTTGTGTCACTGTGTCATTTCACCTTTATTCCTACAGCACTTTATACAGTACAGATTGTGTCAAAGCAGCTTTACAGTTATGAACAACAAAATTACAATGTTAATGTTGCAAAATTCATAAGTAATGAAACTGAAACTGAAAATTTAGTTTCACTTGTAATAACTTCACTATTTAGAAGACAATAGTGCCATTATTCAGCTCAAATTTTGTTCTCATCCAGTAGTGCAAGTGCTGTTAATCTAATAATATTATTGCATATTAATTGCCTTTTAATCCACCAGTAGGGCTTTAAGACAATTAATATTCAATAAAACGGATTAATTTTATAAAGTGTGTGTGAATAAAGTTTAAACTTTTCAATCAGCTTTATTATCTTCTGTAGATCTGATTTAGAGTTGAAATAGACTAATTGAAGAACGTTGAGACATTAACACTTATTTTCTTGTTTATTTCTCTGAAGCTGCTTTGAAAAAAAAAAATCTGTTGTATAAAGCACTACAGAAATAATTATGACTTAAACTCAATTAAAATACAAAATAGGTGTATTTATGTCTATTATGTTTATTAAATAATGCAGCCAGATTAGATCTGAATCAGTGTAATTTTAGTATTATTTATATACTATAAGAGTTTTTATTAATATTTTGAATTAGCTTTTATTTTTGTACCTTCAGTATTTATTTTAATTTAAGTTGCATTTTTAGTCATTTTGTTATGTGCTTTTGTCATTATTTTAATGTTATTATCTTGGTTTAATTTATTTGTATTTTGGTCTTGGTTTTTATTTCTTCTATTTCCAGTTAGTAATTTTAGTGCTTCGTCATAAATGAAAATGAGAAATGTTGCTTTAGCAACTAACTGAAATACGTTTCATTTTTATCTAACATTTCTATTGTATTTTATTTCAGCTTTTCTTTCAATTTACAACAATAGTTTTACTTAACGATCATAACCTTGATCTGAATACTGTCCCTAAACAACAGCAGGAAGTGTGTAGTGTGTACTGCAGTGTGCAGTGACTCTTACCGACATGTTTGCTATGAGTCCAGCTGCGTCCACTGTCAAACACACACACACACACACACACACACACACACACACACACACACACACACACACACACACACACACACAC